CTTAATTACCTTCACAATGGACCAGCTAGGGGAATCATTCACCGTGATGTAAAGTCCACAAACATATTGCTTGATGAAAACCATGTAGCCAAAGTTGCTGACTTCGGCCTTTCAAGGACGGGTCCTCTTGATCATCAACATTATGTCACCACTGTTGTTAAAGGCTCTTTTGGGTATCTTGATCCTGAGTATTTCAGGTCGCAGCAGCTCACAGAAAAATCTGATGTTTATTCATTTGGGGTAGTTCTCTTGGAAGTGTTGTGCGCAAGAGCAGTCATTGATCCATCGCTTCCCACAGAGCAGATAAACTTAGCTGAATGGGGAATGCTTTGCAAAAACAAGGGGATACTCCAAGAGATTGTTGATCCTTCTATCAAGGGCCAAATAGATCAAAACTCGCTCAAGAAATTTAGTGAGACGGTAGAAAAATGCTTGCAAGAAGATGGTTCTGGTAGGCCAACCATGGGTGATGTGTTGTGGGACTTGGAGTATGCACTGCAGCTACAGAGAGGTGCAAATGGCATACATGGAGAAACGAATGAGGATAGTTCTAGTACTAGTAGTGCTTCTGCGTCACTTCAATTACCCAATGTTCGGTGTCTTCCTTCACTTTCTACGCTAAGTGAAGCTGATGACTCCATTATCAGGGGTTTTCTCCCAGTTCGAAATTGATGACGCCAAATAGAAGATTAAGATCTCCAATGCACAAGGACATAATTATTTCGTGCTGCCAAATGTTTCTCTGCTTAGCATATCCAGGTCACGTTTGAGCAATATTTTTGTAAAATCTTTTAAAAACTTATAATCACTTTCAGAGCTTAAAACCCATCTTTAATCACTTTTATTAAGTTCAAGTTTACGTTTGAGCAATATTTAGAGTTTTATGACTCCTAACATCACTTAATGAGGTGCCAAGAAAAATCGTTTAATGTCATGAATCTTCGAGAAATAACCGAAGTCTTCAACTTTTGTCCACTATAGGGATTCACACAAAATTTTATTTCATTAAAGCTGGAATATTTTCAATGTTTCATTAGACAAGAAAATTACCAACCAGAAAACCAAAATAGTAATACACAATGTGCAAATAAAAAAAGATATTGTCACTGAAATTTCAGCACCAAATATTTGTCAACATTAAAAAAAATATATACTGTGCCACGTGGCAAGACCCAAAACCACAAAATGACATTTTTACTACGTAACTAACATATAAGCAAAATAAATTATATCCAACCATAAAAATCACTAAAAATTATTTAATCTCATGACCATATCAACACACCTTCAACATAGTGCACATATATACTTTTTTCATGAAACAACGGTAAAAAAAAAAAA